TATGTGCACAAGACGATCTAGAAAAAGAGACACCATATATTAATGACATATTAAACTCAAACACCTACAACGACTGGCATAAAATAAAAGATAAATACGAAAACAGAATTGACTTTATACCGAGACACTTAAGGAATAAAGTTATCAAATACATAGATATTATCTGTTTCACACCAATATACTACGAGATATACAACCCAAACGACCAACTGGTAGACAATACACCATATTAATGAACAATAACCCAACGGTCATACAACAAATAGGAATACCAAAGGAAACCGAGATACAATTACGACCAATAGCATTAACAACAATAGGAATTATAATAATTACAGGAATAGTAATTATAACTTATATCATAGTTAAACAAAAGAAAATTATTGATGAACCAAGAACAACTTGAAGAATTACAAAATATAAATCACGGAATAATAGAATTTACTACCTTCATAGAAGAAATAAAAAATCGATTAAAATTCCTGGAAGAAAGAATACGAATATCAGAAACACTATTTGAAGAAGAATTCTATACGACAGAAAGGATACGAGAAAATTTAGGATTCGAATACGTGAGAACAATCGAATCACGGAACAACAGAAACGTGGGACAAAACCAAAAAGCAATCTTAGCAAGATTACAATTTCAAATATTCCAACAAATAGAACCTGCAGAAGAAAGAAATACTAAAGAACAATTAGTAACAAACCTAAAAAGAGTTAATCAACAATTAACTACTGCCCATAACCAGCTAAGAACTGCAGAAATAACAAGAAGAATAATTATAAGAGGATCAAGAAATACTTTAACCAGAAGACAGGATTCATGGAACATAATACTAACATCAAGATGAACCAACCAGAAGAATATAAATTCGTATCCACTCAAACCCAAGAAAAACTAATGAAAACAGTATTAGGAGAAGAAAGATATAACAATGAATTGGACAAGAAAAAGTTTTTAATCGAATTACCAACACTAATGACTCAGGAACAGATTAAAGAATTTTGGAATGAAGATATTAATATAGAACCAACAATTAGAAAAATGGAACCAACGAGAACAACATACCAAAGTAAAACGATTTCAAAATTACTACGAAGAAGAGCGAAAACGGAATTGATGATACCCATCAGTAAAATATATAAACCGTTACCAAAATATCAAGAACTAATCCAAAGACTTGACTTAAAAATCAATGCCAAAATCATCATAACAACAGGAGCCGTAGCTGCTGGAAAAACAACATTTACAAAAAACCTTGAACGATATCTTGAAGAAAAACACCAAAAAATAATTAGAGTAGAAGGATTACCAGATGAAATATCCGAATCGCTAGCTTTGATGAACAAGAATAAAGAAAAATATGCGTTTACACGACAAATGTGCATACTTGAGGAATACCAGAAAAAATGGTATCAACTAAAAATGATAACAGAAATTGACAAATCAACTTATATCCTTATGGATCGAACATTCATGGATACCATCATCTTTGAGAACATCTACATCGAAAATCCCGAAGAGAGGAAAATTCTTGAAAACATTCGACAACAATTAAAAGAAGCATTATTCTCGAGTAACCCACTAGTAATTTATTGCAAACCAAAACTTGAAAAATTACTAGAAAGACATCTCAAAAGAAAAGAAGAACAAAACCTAACTAAAGATAATGTCAATACAAAATATCTCGAAGAAATATACCATTCTTATGAAAAAAATATTTTGGAAGCATATCCAACTTATATTGAAATCAATAATAATCACGAAAATCTAAATGACATGATTAGAACCATAATTTCAGAAAGACCAACTATTGGAAACTACAAACAATTGGAAGAAGTTGACCAATTACCAAAAGAAATTAGCATAAAGGAACACAGAAGATATACTGTGATAATACTATATATCATGGAAAAAATAGGAAAGGGCGATATAATAGGACCAAAAATCCTAGCAGCACAAAGAACAGACCAATGCAAAATATACCCGAACCAATGGTCATGCTTCGGAGGAAAAGTAGAACCAAATGAAACATACTTTGAAGGAATTGTACGCGAAGCACAGGAAGAACTGAACCTAAAAATAGATCAATCACGAATGCAACTTATCATGATACATAATTATCATTCACATAATCAAAGTGGAACAAAACCATTATATAATCATGAAACCGAAACTGTACTCGAAACAAATAGAGTAACCATACCAATTTGGCTATATCATTTAACTGGAAGGGAGAAAAACTCTATCAGGAACAAGGAACCGGATATCCAAACAAATTTCAGATACTTATCACAAAAAGAAGTGCAACACTTATGCTTTACGCCAACGATCCACATGAATAAACAAAAACTATTTGAATTACTAATACCATATTATGAAAATGAATATATTACTAAAAAAGGAAAGATCACATACGACCCACATAGATTAGACCAAAAAAGGGAATACGCCAAAGAAAAACCCTTACGCCAAAATCAAAAGTATACAAAATAAGAGTGGTGTGACAAAAACACCAAGACCTTCAAAATAATAGAAATACCTGTACAAGTGAAACTAAATTTTACCGCCAAGGGCTCAGATGCAGCTCAGCGCGTACCGGCACCCTGGGAAATCCACCGGCGATCTACACCGTGCGACAAACAGAAGCATCACGCCTTAGCCGAAATGATTATCAGAATAAGATTACCAAATCAGGGCATATTATAACTTATCTACAATCATTAATTAACGATCGACCAAATATTTACAATATTAGTCATTTATTATTATTAACAATCTGTATTACTTTATTATCAATTATTAGTCATAGCTTATTAGTAGTCATAGCTTTCTCGAATGTATAAATACCACTAGTTTTTACCTTTCTTAACTTTAGAATTTTTGCTTAAATTTTCTCAAAAACACGATAAAAACTACAAAGCATAAAGCTTACCTTTCTTAACTTTAGAATTTTTGCCTACGGCAAAAATTGAACCTTATTTGCGCCCAAA